CCGTCCATGTGCGACTTCGGAATTTTTAGATCCAGCTTCCATGTAAGTCTAGATCTTACACAGAGAAGAATGCAAGTTTTCGTCAAACAGAACACTTCGATGGTTTCTGTGCATTTCAAGAACATGGAAGCGAACATTTTTAACAGCAAATCTCCGCTAGGCAGAATTGCACAAAACGCATGACTGCACCAGCTGTCTTAGTGCCCGTCGATGTTTATTTCTTCCTCATCTCGCCTCCCCTCCCTGCACCTCTTTCTTGCCTTCCCCGCCTTTATGTATATCAAGATCATTGTTCATTTCTTTCAGCCGATTAAAAGATTTAAATTATTTGGTAATGTTTGCACTACCGGTTTATGTGCACGAAAAAATATTGGGAATTAGCAGTACTGTAGATTATCAGGAAAAGAGGTCCTTGTGCAAACAACAAACGTGATAATATGTTTGTGTGCAGAGCAGCTTGCATTCAAATATCGCTCCAGAGCATTATCATGCAAAATAACTGTAGGAATGCAAGCCAAAACTTTTTTACTCTTGGCTTTCTTAGAAAAAAAAATTTTTTTTCGGCTTAATCTGTGCACAAGATATTTTGTGCCAGACATATTCTGACATATGTGATGCAGTTGAAAGTGAACACCGAAGTTGGAAACGGATTGTCTGGGATGCATTAAGAAAAAAATTATTAACTAAAAAAACGCCAGCTTTTGTCGGAAATTTAAATCTGCCAGGAAATTGTTAGTCTTCTTAAGATTTGTGCATTTATTTATCAGCTTCTTGCAAAATTTGCCAGCTAAATAAAAAAAAAATTATTTCTTCGAGCTCACCGCACTGGTAACAAACAATATTGCACGGTACCAGCGCTTTTGAGGATGACGAAGTTGCCATCTGCATCAGTGGTGAGAAGACAAGTGGCGATAAACAATAGCTATTCGGAACAGTGTTACACAAGCAAGTGCGTACTTTGAAGGTGAACAAAGTATTGTGCTGCCAAATCCATGTTTCCAACGTAAATGAAGGAAAGTTTAAGACTACGACAACGGGATACTAATCGCTGACTGGACTTCCTTGTTATATCACTTTTTATGGCAAAAAGAGCACATTGTCTTTGAATCGCGTTTTTTTTGAAAATTCGGTTAATTCAGTATTTCTTGCTTTGTTTCCGATGGGAGAATAGGATCCCAGGACGTACGATTGCGCACAGATAAAAGTAAGCTAATTTATTAACAATAGGTCAACCAAACATCCAAAAATTA